ATTTTATATTTATGTTCAGTTTTAGGCCCTAGATTATGAAGACCAGATCTCTTACAGAGTATACATCTTAGGCAATCAAATTCAAGTTTACACACAACACATGATGCACATTAGCTCATGCAAGTGTTTCACGTTAATTGCCGCAATGTCCTTCATAATGGGTCAGTGAATCGCAGAGGTGTCTGCTGCATTGGCTATTAAACGGTGCGTGCGCCCGTGTCCACGCACAGGATCCTCCGGGGGGAATCCAAATGCACCACAGTGGTCAGACGCCTGCCACACCCTTCTGGAGTAAACAAAGGAAGAGACATCTGAGCCATCATTCCTAGAAAGATGCTTTTCGGGGTCAAACCAACGACTCTGATAGCGTGTGGTTACGCACGAGTATCTGATGCTGAGCCTAATATTGTAATTACAGTGAAAGTGGCTCTTGCTTTGGCTATAGATTACAGGTTATCTCCGAAACCGCCCCCTCGCTTTAACGCACACATGCGCGTCTCCTTTACTCCACGCACATTCCAAAATCTACGCCTTTGTCTTGGTTGGTTGTCACACGGCGGTAGCCCAGACGAATTCAGTAAGGAAAGGGCGAATTGTGTATGTGTGGAGCAGACTGTCTCCTCCCCCAACCATAAGCGCACACACCATGCTCTCTCCTCCCCCTGCCCCCTCCTCCACACCCCTTATGTCTTTGTGTGTGTATGTGTGCGTGTGGCTGACGGCGTACCCGAAAACCGTGTTTCGGATTCCTTGCATAGAAAATAAAATTTCTTTGGAATTTCAAATTTATTTGTGTTATATTTTGTGAAGAAATTAGGAAAACCTGCAGGTGCTGATACAGGGGAGGAACCGGGTGGACGCACGTGAATCTGTCACCTACTCAGAGCCAGGAAATGGAAAGGAGAGGAATGCTTTACCAGCAAGTGCCGCAAATTGGACTTTCCACCATCAGCAACCCTCCTCTCTCTCCTGTCTTCCCTCTCGCCATCCCTGCGCCTCCTCTGAAGGTCTCCCCACTTGCTCCCATCCAACCCCATTCTCCCAGTCTCTTTCAGTGATCCCAGAATAGCCTCACATCTGAGCGCTGTCCACATATTTTCAAGAGAGGGTTTTGGATTTTTCGGGGTGACTTGCGGGAAGCTGGAGATGGATTAAAGGACCGGTGCACCGCAAAACTGGAGCAGCACGCACGACCACGCCGGGGAGGAAGGGGGCGACGGGACTCGGTGAATTCACGAAGCCCCCGGGACAGAGGTGAGTGCTCCGGCTGTCCGGTAGCAGTGTAGCTTTCTCCCCCCGCATGCTGCCCCCCAGCAACCGCTCCTCCTGGCAGGAGCTGAGAGGTGAGCCAGGAAAAACCAGCACATGGTTTTCACGTTTCCATAATTAATGACCTTCTATGCAATCGGCTGATTTCTACTTGTGGTGGAGTAAGAGCTGTGTTATTAATAGCCCCAGTATCTCTGTGCGGCGGTTCATTTGATATAGTGACTAACAAAATGTCATCTCCAATAGATGATCATGTTGGGGAAACGGCAAATGAAGCAAAGTGCGTGTTTCCAAACAGCCAATAGTCACCAACAGTCTTATTGAGTTTATGTTGTTAGGATAAATACCAGCTTTAAATGATTATTCTATTCATGTGAGTTACGCTGGGTTAACCCTCCTCCACATTAAGTTGAACATATGGCCCTTTATGTGTCTCCAGCTGATGAGGCCCCTGCAGCTGCGTTGCCTTTGCAGTAGCCAGCATTGTAACTTCCTTTAATCATGGCTGGACTGATGAGTATAGTGAAGGGGAATTTGATAAGCTGTGCTGTTACACTTTGTGGTCACCTCCATTCATTTTTCGTTTTTGTAAACCAGGGCACCTCAAAAGAGCAGCATCTATTCCCTCTCTGACTTGAATGTTTAGTCAGTGGCCTTGTTGGGAGACACCATGGATTTGGGTTTATGCTGTATTATATGTACTATGCTATAGCCTGCTATCCTGTATTCTGACAGCATTTCCAGATTGTTGTGCTGATTTGTTGATATGTCATGTTATTTTCAGACACAGTATATAACTTGTGAAATCAACCAAAGCGTTTAACGCTTTTTCTACTAATCTGACAAAAAAACAAGATTAACAGTAATGATATAAAAACAGGACTGTCACTTTCATTCATGCATGGCAGAATAAGAGCCATGGTTTTCCTAAAAACGTTTGTTCTCCTGACGTTGACTAGACTAGCACCATCACAAACTGCATTTGAAATTTTGTGAAGAGTTAAGTAAAAGGTAGCTCTATTGTATGTGAAATGCAGTACATCCCTCTCTCCTTGGAATCATCCCCAAGTCTGTATCCAGAAATCAGGAAAAAATCTCCAATATTGTGCTGTACTACAGCATGCTACAGTATAATATAGTGCTGAAGGTGGCAGCCAACGGAGTGATTAGCATGCAAATAGAAAATTGATCAGCACCTGGGAAAACTGTGAAATTGTGATGGACATTTTCCTGACTTGTGTTTTTGGAGAATTTATATATAATGAATTAAGAAAATAATTAGCAGATTAATAAATAATGAAAACAATCATTCATTGAACTCCTTGTTAAAAAATGCTGGAATAAACAGAAGGGCACAAGTTATAGGAAAAGCCTCGATGATGAATGAAGTCTGGCTGGTTCCTGACACAGAATGGACTGTTACTGTTACCACGGCCTTTGCAGACACCAGATCACAGCCCGGCTGAACACCTGTGGGACAGCATTCTCCTGTGCCATCATATAACATCAAATAGGGGACTATCTTTCAGAAGAACAGTGTTGAAACCTCCAGCACGGACTAGGAACTGTGTCACTGAGGCTGTTCTGGAGGCTTCTAGTGGCCCAAGACATGTTTAAATCAGTTTGCCTTAAGTTGTCGTCTATTTGTATACATTAAAATATACGTCTACAGTATTAACTGGCTGTACTTGTCTGTGACACCTCCACCCCCGTGTTGGTAGTCGCTGTCTTGTACGCCTTGTTGTCTAACAGACTGACAGATTGTTTCTGTCTTCTGCAGGACACACATATGAGATGTGCACAGCCTGCAGTATACACACTTCCAAAGACTTTTCTGATCTTTGCAAGCACACGCATACAGCAGCTCATACTGCAAACAGTTTGCACTCACACACACACACACACACACACACACACACACACACACACACATATATATGACATTCCCCAGAGGACAAATGCTGCTGTGATAGATAAACAAGTCCCTCTCTTCATTAAAGATGCTCGTAGTGTGTGTGTGTGTATGTCTTTGAGTTGGGATGAGGTTTGAGTGGTGACTGGAGTAGGTCACTGAGACCAAGTAGCTGGGAGAGTGAGACCCGGGGACCCAGCATCAGCTGCACTGGAATCCATCCCAATATCTCCCCTGTCTCTGATCCTCATCCCTACACTCTGGACCCCCCTCTCCCCCAAATCTCGCCACCAGACTTACATATAAGCACAGACACACTCTTGCACTAGGCTGTTCTTTTTTTATATAATCATTTTTCTTTATCATTCTTTTTTATTATGTCTTTGATCTCTGCTTATCTTGTCCCCCAGTCCTCGATGTTCTTCTTCTCTCCGCTTCGATACATTTCAAGCAGTCATGGAAATTAGACTATAGAACTCTTTGATTCTCTGTGCCTTACACTGCCTCAGGGTAAGCGTCCTCTTATCTCAGAGAGAAAGGGAGAGACAGACAGAAAGGTGGATGGAAATTTTTAAAAAAGAAGGTATAAAGGAGAGTTAACAGATTGAGAAAGGTTGAAAAAGCAGAGACAGGGATTTGTATACTACAAAGAGACAAAACAGTGAAGAGAAATAAAGGCAGAGAAAAGGCCAGTGCGAATGGAAATCAGCAAACCTAAACAAAAACTGTGCAAAGGAGAATAAAATGGAGAGACAACTACAGAGAGGCAGGATGAGGTAGAGATGCCTAGACAGCTTTCAGCAAATGTGTGCTTTCTTGAAGGGTAGTATTTTGGGATTGAAGTCTCAGATCAGCTGATCATGTGCTCATAGTGACACAAGGTGAAACGGGTTTCACTGCACATTTCAGACAACAAAATCATGTTCTCACTTTCGACCAGTATGCAAAAAAAGTCAGAGATTAACCCGACAACAGAAAACCAAGTTGGATGCTGGTATGAAGAGTGTAGAAAACCAGATGTAAAACACACAGTCTGTATGGGCAGTGATCTAAAGGTTAGAGAAGCAAGCTTGTGACTGGAGGGTCGCTGGTTCAATTCCTGGACCAGCAGGATCAAACTGGGTGGGACACGTGACAAAGCAGCACTTGCCTCACCCTCATTAACACCACAGTGGTGCCCTTAACCCCCAGTGGAGCTGCTCAGGTCAGTCTGTGGCGGTACTGGGCAGCTTCCAGGTGTGAATGTGTAACTGTGTGAATGTGAACAGGGCATCCCTGCAAAAGAGAGGTGACCTCTCAGTGGACCTACCCTGAATAAATGATGGTTTAAAAAAAAAGAGCAAAGTGTGGCACACATGAAGTCTGATTGGTAGGCAGAGGGAGGGATAGATGAGAAGAGAGAGGAAAAAGTGATAAGTAAAATAGGACAGAAAGGTGGAAGAGGTAGAGATGGGGAGATAAGAGGGAGTCACAGGAGACAGAGGAACAGTTATAGATGGGAAGAAAACGGGAGCTGCAGTGAGAGCTGTGAATATTTAAGTTTGGGCCCTTGGCTCTCATTTCTCTCTGAGGCCTTCTGTTCGCCTGCAGGTTACTGATGACATGAGATGTCTGAATGTGTGAGAAAGATACAATTTATTATAAATACCCCTTTGGAAGTTGAAATGCTTTAAATCATTCCCCATTTGTGGACTTTATCATGGCCTACCCTTCACTTTTCAACATAGCATTTTAATACGCTTTTTTTTTCTCTGCCTGAGCGCATGTGTATTTGCCAGCAGAGTGTGGTTATTATTAAATGTGCATGTGCAGAGTTATAAGCCTAATCAATGAAGATGTCTCTGCAAAAACTAATATTGCACCTCATTACCAAGCAACATTGAAATTACTGAGAAGACATTTTAGTGTGTCCAACACAAGGTCTCATTCTTCAGACCAGTGCATTTTAATTTGTGCGGTAAAAAACCCGCTCAGCCATGAACGGCCTTTGAAACCCCTTTGAGCCGATGTTTCATTCATCAGATAAGCCCAGACCTGGCAGAAGTTTAATCTTCTTTGACTCTTTTTAGAAATGTTGTTAGGAAAATGAAAGCACTCTGAAACTCCTCTCTGACATCCTCTCGCAATCTGTTATCCCAACAGGCTGTGACTGGTCCCACCCCAAGATGACATCCCCCAAAAGCAAAGCCAAGAAGAAGCCACCCAAAGACAGCATAACACTGCTGCCATGCTTTTATTTTGTAGAGGTATGTGTGGAAGTATTGATGAATCACCTTTTTTATCACCCAACATTTGGTCAACATGAGTCACTACATTTACCGAGTCAATCAATAGATGAATCACTCTTTTAATGATCAGTCATACCAGTAGTGAGTGTTGTGTGTTGATTGCATCTGCATGCATCGGATTACTTCACAAGCAAATATTCTGGTGTCATCCTTTTTTTTTTTTTGCTCTTGGGTGTCTGTGTGATGCTTGTATAGTTTTTGTGGGGAGAGTGGAGGTAGAAC